GGGCCTGCGCAGCCCCCCACTGCGCGGCCTCCGCACCCCCCCAGTGAGCTCTCCCAGGTGGCTCTGCAGTGGCCTGGCGGGGTGGGGGTGGTGCACCCCCTGGCGTCAGGGTGGTGGGTCTACAGCGGGGGTGGGGGCTTGGGGGTGTGGATCTGCAGTGGCGTGGGGGGCTGGGGGGCGTCGTCGGTGCGGGGACTGCCCCTTGTCAGGGCCTGCGGTGGCCCCTGCCCCGTCCAGGCACAGAGCTGCCAGGGCTCCCGCCTCTCCCGGCCCGCCCTGAGGCCATGCTCTGCTGCCCCGCGGCTGCCCAGGGGAGATGGGAGGCGAGCCGGCCAGGGCTGGAGTGGCCGCTGGCCGGGACCCTGGGCCACCCACTGCCCTGTGCGCCCGTCCCGCTATGCGGGGAGCCGGCTCTGCCTGTGGGCGCTGGCAGCCACGCTGGTGCCGCCCTCCAAGGAGGGCGGGTGCAGCCCAGCCCTGGCCGCTTCCTGGCCTCAGGGACCGCTGCCCCGCGAGGTGCTGCGGGTTACAGGTTTCGGGGACGCTGGAGCCTGCCCTGAGGCCTGCTGCTCTGGGGGGCACGCGCTGGCTCCACGGCGGGGACCCCTTTCCTGGCGCTGCTGGGTCCATGAGTGCAGCAGGCTGGCAGGCACTGCCCCGGGCAGCCTCTCGGGGGCCTCCGCCTGCTAGCGCCTCCTGCTGCCTCCCCCAAGCTCTTGGGGTGTCTGAGGCTGACACAGAAGAGTTCTGTATTTTCTGGGGAGGCCTGGCGGGGCTGCTCCTCCCCATGTGTGGGGGGGCTGGCGAGGCCTCGGGGCTCAGGAGCAACTGGGGGTCTCACTGCATGTGCCCCCGAGCTGGCCCTGGCTCTGGGGGCTCGACACCGGGCCCCGGGCCCCTGGGGCTGAGGCAGACTGAGCCCTGCTGGCCGCCTCCCCGGGGCTGGGCCAGGGCTGGGCGGCTGAGGGATGGGGACGGGGCCTGGTTGGGCAGAGCCTGCTGTGGGACTGGAGAGCTTTGGGGGCTCAGGCGCCCTGAGGCCCTTGGGGGTTTTGGGCGGGTAGCCATCACCTGGGCTGGGCCCCCCATGCATCGGGTGGTGAAGCTACCCATTGTCCGCTACGGCCTGGACACTGGGGGACACGCGGGACCCCGGGCTGGGTGCTGGGCTTGGGGTCCTGGGAGTGCCAGTTGGGGCAGCAGGCGGCCTGGGCCAGGATGCGGGGAGCGGTCCCCCACCTGCCGGAAGCCTGAGGCAGTGTCCTCACGCTGGCCGCCTGCCCCTGGAGTCCGGCCAGGGCTAGGGCTCGGGCTAGGGCTGTCCCACCCCAAGGCCGTGTCCCCAAGGCCCCGTGGGGAGACAGGCACCTCAGCCGCAGCCCCCCACTTCCACCCCGTGGAGCTCAGGGGGGCGGCGGCTCAGTGCCTGGGCCTGTAGGGGGGGAGGCTAGGGCGGGACAGGCGGCGCGCACCCCAAGGCTGCGTGGTGTCCCAAGGGGCCCAGTCGGAGGGGCCAGCCCCCGACATGACACCAGCGCCCCGGGGTTCGGATGAGCAGAACGTCGGCCTTTCCCTGAGCTGAGGCCTCGGGAGGCCCCGCTGGCCCTGGACACGCTGGCAGTGACCCGGCTGCCGCTGCTCCCCACGGCCCCTGTCCAGCCCTGAATTCTTGCAGCTCTGCACGCCCCCCCCACGGCCCCCCCTTGTGGGCCCACACAGCCGCTGGCCGAGGGACCCCTGTGGGAGGCTCTGAGCTGCGCTGGGTCCCGAGCGGGGCCAACGGCCGCCTGGACACTGCTGTCGCCTCCTCGGCTGCTTCTCGGCGGCCTCGCAGACACGGGGCCCTGGGCCGGGGCCTCCACTGCCCACCCCTTCCTGTGGCCACAGTCCACTGGCCAGCGCCTGCTGCCCACACACGTTTACCTGCCGCGGCCCTGGCCATTTTTTCCTTTAACAGATTTGTTTATTTCTGCACACAACTGGGATACAGATCAGAGGTGCAGGGGTGAGGACTCCCCAGAGACTGTGGGGAGCAGCACAGGCAGATGGACGAAGTACACTGCTGGGGGGCAGCGGGTGGGGCCCTCCCTGGCCGGAGCTCCAACTCGTGCTGCAGCTGTGGTGGCTGCACAGTGCTGCACTTCACCCGCTGGCCACTGGGCAGGGTCCAGGGCCCCTGGCCAGGGGCAGCCCAGGCGCCCGCGGGGGTGGGAGGACCGTGGACCTGCAGCGCAGCCCTCTGCCGCCGCCGCCGGCCCTGACGCGCCCCCTCCTCACCCCCAGGCGAAGGCGTCCGGCTCTCCAGGACCGGCCGGCATGGCGCCCGCGGAGCCGCCCGCGGAGAAGCAGGAGGAGCCGGAGCCGGGGCCGGAGCAGCGGGCCTGGCGCTGCCTGGTGGGCTACCTGTGCTTCTACGGCTTCACGGCCCAGCTGCGGCCCGGGGAGAGCTTCATCACCCCCTACCTGCTGTCCCAGGACAAGAACTTCACGCAGGAGCAGGCACGCGGG